TCTCTTTTAGGCCAATTTTTGCATAGTATTTTAGGCTTATTTGTGAGCTGTTTTGGACTTGGTCATAAACTGTGAAATGTCTTGTTTTGAGCCCGTCTTCAATTTTGTTGAAGGGCTCTCCTCTGTTTGAGAACAGAAGATACCACTTGTCTTGTGGCTCAATCAAGAAGAAGCGAGAGATCCCCAGCAGCATGAGGCACGATATTGTATGTACGGTTCATTTGAGGCTGGTACGACCAGACGAACCGCGTAGGTATTGTATCTTCTTCGTGTGAGACGTGGCGAGAGTTGAATAATTCTCCGCATTCTTAACTGCATGAAATGTAGTTGTTGCTTTGCATTCTTGCTTAAAACTGTTGCATCTATTGTGAATATGTGCTTCATTACAGCTTGCTGCATTTGCATGATCATTGAGATACCTTCGGCTTCTTGCATTTGTCGGTTGCATTTTGCCCCTACCTGCGGGCACGTCTGCGGGCGCATCTCTGTTTAACTCGCCTGTTTGTCTAAGTCTTCGGCCTTGTCAAAAATGGGTCGTCTCTGGGCTTTGACATTCACTCCCGTCACTTATGACTTCCAAGTTTTGTCAAAGAGGGGCAACTGTAGACACCTCATTTTGACCGACCTTAAGACTCAGATGTCACCAGTTGAGCACTCGGTGATATTGCATATTGTGCTCATTCAGAAGTTTCAGAGTCCCGGCTGCAAGCCTTGCCTCCGGGCTTCCGGACTCTTTCGTGCCTTGCCTCCGTTTGCGAACCAGGCTCTATTTTCTCTTCCCGAAGGGAGAGAGAGGTCTCGTGGATCATCTCTCAGTAGCCGTAGGCTATGTTTCGTGGTCGTAGGCCATTTTTCCCATTTGGAGCCCGGTTTCCGATTTTTCGGAGCCGACGGGCGTGTGCCTCGGTTCGAGACCGCCTAACCAACTCCGTTTGCTCTGATTTTTGGCATACACCTTATTTCCTCCCTTTTGAGGAACACTGTGGCTCGAGAGACCAACTTCGTGGTCAAATGCCACCTCCGGTGCTTAACAGCCCATTTTCGGGGCCCCGGGCCGCGCGTTTCGGTCCCCGAACCTCCGTTTTGCATCCGTTTTGGTTCATTTTTGGTGGAGACCTTATTTTCATTGTTAGAAAGCTTGTAGGAGGGTGGGAGGCCAGCAATTGTTCTGGAAAGCCAGCTTTATTTCTTCATCGCTCTCTGTCGCCCATTTTCCTCACTAAAAAGCTAATGTTGACCACCCCGGGGCCACTTTCTTTAGCCCTAAACCCCATACTTGTGTTGTACACACCTGGGAGGCCA